TTGCATTATTTTATATGCTTTTTAATTTGGCATTTGATAATAATATGCTGTGCGAATTTTTCGCACGGGCCTACTAGTATAAAAAAAAATTAAAATTTCAGAAACGAAGACTATATAGTTCATAACCTATTACATTGACCACGATACATAAGCTTTGTCAGATATGTTGAATGACCTAAAGAAAAATGATATTTACGAAACATGAAACGTATTATATACGACTGCAGAATTAATAAGTAGTTTCTGATAGCAACAGCGGCTAGATTAGTTTTGAAGGTTGTTTGGCCAATTCGGCAATCCCCGAACAAACATAAGGCACGTGACTTTGAAGCAAACAAACAAACATAACGTGTACCATTTGTAGTGTACACAACGCTGTCCTATTCAGTTCTCAATCATCACGTCCAATAGGAAAATCAATACTCTACCCCGATTTCCGACAAACTACTGTTAGTCATCCGGTTTATACTATCTTGTTTATATGATTATCTTTTTCCGTTCTATGCAAACTGAAATTTTTAGGGTTAAATGAAAAAGATTATTAATATTCTAAAAGAGTTTGAACACTCATTCATGAATTACATTGAACAGAATAGAAAAAACGTCTGCCAAGTAAGGTCTTTATAAAAGGTGTTTTAAAAAAAAAAATAATAAAATCATTTTTTTTTGTGATTTTGTTTTTATGATTGCAAATTTATAAATTTTATGAAATTTAATAATATGTGTAATGTCTTCTGTTACGCACTAACTCTCTGCACCTATTCAAAATATAGGAAAACTGTTGTCACTCATATGATAAGGAATTTCATACCACAAATGTGGTGTAACTGCTCTCAGTTACTGTAGGTTAAGAAGCTGCAGTCAGTGATCAAAAAGCATTTTCTGCAATTCGATTCAAAGGGATTGCGAACTGGAGACAATATGGCAGGGTGGCAGATGTGAAATGTTTTTCAAGATATTGATGAATAGCTCGTCACCTATGAGGTCGCGTTTTGTCGTCAAGAAAATGGAAATCTGTGCCAATTATGGCCTGGTTTGAGGAACGTACTCCTCTTCATTTCCTTCTTAATTTCGAGTACCGAGTACCAAATATTTACTCAAACTGAATCACTACTGAGAATTCAGTCACTACTTCAGTTAATCGTTTTATATCAAATGAAGAAGTATTTAAATTCTTTGGTACTCAAAAAAGGTCAGTATTTGAGTAAAATACTTGGTACGCAATACTAAGTGTAGCATTTGCCCATCTTTGACCTTTCCCCCACAACCCTTATTGAAATGCAATAAGTTAAGTTGAACATCTAACAATGACTAAAGTTGTCATCTTGAAATTACCCAATTTTATAGGCATATCATATATGTATATTATTATTTAATATTAGGTTAGATAAACATTTTTTAAATATATTTCTATAAGTGTTATGTGTTTCAAATTTAAATATGACTGGTTTATGATAAAACCTATATTAGTTTGATTGTATTAATCTAGGTGCTGAAGTGACGGACAGAGATTCTCCGAAAAAATCACTAATAAATAATAATGAATACTAAGTATATTATTTATTATACCGACCTATAGGCAAAAAAATTAATGAAAAATATATTTACTTATAATTATTAATTTCTTTTTATATGTTTTCCTGACAAAAATAAGAGGAAAATACAATGTCAGTAATAGAGCTCTGTTGTTAATGCGTTTTAATTAATGATTATTTACTTTTCATTAAATGGAAGTATGAAGAAGTTATTGTACGTCAATAAAAATATATATAAGGGAATAGTTAATTATGGAAATATTATGCGAGTTTATTCACAGAAGATAAATAAATAATTTCCAAGTATTTCGTGGACTTCTAAATAGTTCGTAAATTAAATTGACATATTTTACACATAAAATAACATTTGTTACAGGTATGAAATTTATAAACAAAAACAGCAATATTTCCATATTTAAAATAAATAGCATGTCGATGTGTCGCTGCAGTCTATTCCTGCATTTTATTTAAATTCTCAGACAGGAATCCACGGCCTGTGGACATCGGAATTGTCTGAGTATGCGGGGAAAACTTTGAATCCTCTTTGACTCGGCAGCCATCTTCACTTCATCCGGCTGAGTGCTCTTCAAAGCGATAGTAAGGAAACGTAAGTTATGAATGGGAACCTACCATTCATCACAGACTGAGAATCATCATTCAGACTTCCTGCATTCATGAGAATAATTCGTAAAGGTGGGGAAAGGTGATCCTTGGTAATAAAACCACAACTTTAATTGTTTAACTAATGCATGCATATTTTCATACACACACCGTTTTTTAAACATGTATTTAAACATCAGTTACTTAAAATATTATGCAACATGGCCTGCTCAAGTTCATTGAGTAAATAGGGTTTAACTATTAGATAAATCTAGCGAGTTGCCAGAACTAATCAGCTGATGTTATGTGCATTTCATGTCTAATTATATCTTGATTCCCATATCAAAATAGTAGGAATAACAATGGGTGTTGTGATTGGAGAGTTCATCTATTAACACCTATGTATAAATAAATACTAGAGAACTTACAATCAGTAACGCAAATAAGGTTAAAAAGCTTCTTAACGAAAATCTATTCATCAGTATTGTTGCTCAACGATCTGTTCGTCCACATGAAATTGAAATTAGCAATGTTAAGACCATTGTTGATCAGAATCCCACCCAATCAGAGCGAGAGATTGGGTTACTATGGCCCAGAATATGTTTTGGGATCCTCTGAGTCCCGTAAAATGGTCTGTGTGTGTGTTAGCATTCTAGCTCAAAAATGAAAAGTCGTAAGAAAGTTAAACAGTTAAAAAGTTAAATCTTAATTAATTTTATAGAAAGTTAAACTGCATATTTCAATACCGATAATTTGTAACAATGTTATTGTTCTTACGGGACTGTAGTCCTAGAATAAAATTATGTTTTCATTCATTCATTCATACATTTAACGTTTTCATATGCCTCAGATGTTACAGCAACATTTTCGGCAAAATCGGCTAACCGGAAGTGGCACTTTATATCATCGATGTAACGCATTTTTATGACTTACTCGAAAACGGCTCTAACGATTTTAATTAAACTCAGTATATCAGTATTGAACCATGCAGCTATTTTAAATAAATAAACAACAAAAACCTTTTATCTGAAATGCTTTTTACTATTTCCTGTATTGAATGCCATTATTGCTTTTAACGTACTTTATCGAACATGAAAGATACAACTTAAAAATCTTCAAATCAAAATGGCAAGTTTTTTTTTTTTTTATCAGCTAACGAAACAAATTCGGTTCCTTGTCTGTCTGATCAGAAGTATCTATTACCGTTATAACTACTACTATAATTTTTGGGGAATTATGTGGGTTGATAAATAAATGGGTCGATATAAATTTTATCAAATACCGTCATCGCTCACGTATGCACAAATGTATTTTCCTCGCTACAACTAAATCTCGAAAACTGCTCATACTTTTCGAGCCGAAACTAGAGGTAAAATGGGATTTGTGAAGAAAAATGGATACATATCATTCAAATTCAACCCATCGATTTCACTGAAAACTTATTTTTATTGAAAAACCTATGTTTCGAGATTGGACTAAGTTTGACTTAAAGTTCATATAATTTTTTTGTGAATTTGGTACCGGCAATGCAAGCATGAGAAAGGATATTACGATCGAATTGCCGAATTCCTAGAGACGAAAAAATATAGATACTTCCTTGAATATATTGCATAGATAGGGAGGGCTAAGCGAGATTCGAGGATGTATTGACTTTTGGTGCGAAAGGAAAAGAGGATCTGATAGTCGATTCTACAATTCGATTTAAACCAAACGATGAGGATCAAGATCTTATGATACAAACAGAAAAATACATTCCGCACCTGCAGGAGAAATGTAGAGAGAAATTTGGTGGACGAAAATACTCGGTTCGGGAGTAGAGGAGCAATTCCACTTTCAACTACTGAGTTTTTGGAAAAGCTGAGTGTGGAAAGGAGCCATATGCAGAGTATGGCGGAATACATTTTTTTGGAATCATTAGGAATTCTGCACCATCTGATGTATTAATTCTGGTCATTTCGTTATGAGATCTGCAGACAGTCGTGAGAAGGAAAACAATGAAAAAATTATAATAATGAGAAAATAAATTTTAACATTTGGTACTTTGAGTGATGGTCCCCTAAAACTTTATTCTTTATGTTTTCTCTCATTCATTATTATCTATTAGGAATGATCCGTAAACTGGGAGTTGTAGCAACTCAACATAGTTGAGCAGCTATACAACTTTATTCTACTTTTTTCTCTTCCTTAATTCAGGAAAGGAGATCTTCCGCCCTGCTCTTTTTCAGTCTTTCGCTACCTAATTTGCAAGTTAGCCGTGGTCAAGTCATTTATAAGTCTGTTGATGTGTTTGTTGTTCGATAGTTGGTTGTCGTAAAGCGGTATGTAAAGTTATGCTGTATACGTACTAAGGAGCTTATTAGTCTTAAAGTTTTTGATTTAATAGACTTTAATTTTTGCAGGTGTGTCTTTTTTTCTTAAAAGCAAATTATATTAATTTGAAAATGTATATTATTTGACAAATGTTATTTTTGGTATTTATTTAATAAAATTTCAAGTTAATTTTACCTTATAATATGTATTATTTGCAAACCTAAAAATATTGTCATTTAAGTTACATACATGGTCATGCCTCTTTTAGTTTTTAATGCTAAGGATGGTCTATTTGTTTTTCAATATTATTTAATGGATAAATTTATTTTATTATCGTCTAATGGAAATATTATAATAATAAATGTTTTCAAGAATGAAAACCTTCAAAACTACTCTCATATCGATTTAAAAAATCATGTTGACAGTATATTTTATGTTTCCAAAACATTTTAAAAATATATAGTTACGAATGAAATTCATTCTCTCAGCTCCAAAACAAACTTCAAGCATTTGAATGCACATTTTTCTTTAAATTAATACTATTTTCATGCTTACCCCGATACTGGTTAATGAAGGAAATTTTTTCTTAAGCATGTCTTCAGATGGTAATTAACACAGGAACCTATCCTCACACAAAACACTGGCGACACTTGACACAAGATGACACTAACACGACCTGAGAACGTCGTAACACGTTTAATGACTCGACAAATATTGTTCAAATTAAAACATATTTTTATTATATTTCTGATACAGTAAAGTCTTATTTTAAAATACGTAGTTTATGAATATTTTTTTTAAAAGAGAAAATATATAAAATTAAAAACAATCATTCAACTTCATAATTTTTTATTTTATTATTTTTTTAAGAAGAATAGTAAGCAAACACAGGCACAAGTTTTTATGCATTTTTTTAGCGTGCTTTCAAAACGAAAGATATTTTTGGAAAATGTTATTGTTTTACCTTAAGGTTATTATTTATTTTGAATTAATTTAAAAGAAATTACAAGTAATATTTATAAAAAATGATTAAATTTGAAATATTCCAATATCAACTAGATTAAGTATTTTTATCTACTTATTTTTATGAGGCGTGATAGAGAAAAATAGGACGTTATTGACGTTAGTAAACGAACACAAGCTATTTTAAAAGTTTTCTCTTAACAATTTTTCAGGTCGATTTGGTTGTCAATTAAAAACGTACCAGAAAAAAGTAGTTTCATAAGGTTTTATAATACAACTGCCTCTATGATCATTACAATATTTTTTTATTGATTGTGGTTTAAAATAAAATAGATATATGTTTTAAATTATGCGTGGTTCTGACGGTATTTTTTATTGATTGTTTAAATCTTAATACGCGTTTAAGTATAGATTTACGAAATATTAGAGAAAATATTGAAAAATAAAAATTATAATGAAATCTGTTATGTCTTGTATATAATATAGACTTTGTGAAATGAGTTGGTTCGCGAGCTGTATCGAATTTCTCCTGCTGCCGAAGAAGGAGCTAGATAAAATTCTACTGTATCAGAACGATATTTTTTTTTATTTATACAAAATATAGTTCCACAATGATCCGCTCATCCGGTTCGGATATTAGAGCGGTAAATAGCTCACCTAAAACACGGAATGGACAAGTTACCACAAAGCCGGTGCTCTACAGACTGAAGCTGATTCCGTTTATAAATAACAAACGTACGTCGGACACCAATTTTAGAAAACCCAGTGCTGCTTCCTATTTTTCGATCTCGGAACCAAGCGCTGGGGCAATAACAAATTCCAAAGAAATTATTCCTCAACACTTATTCAAAACATATATGATAAAATAATAGGCAGACTACAGATATGATTATTTTTTAAAAAGAAAAGGTTATAAATAGTTCTATGATGTGAAAAAAAAACATAATTTAAGTGATACTATCTGTTATAGAGCATATTATGGCAAATTTTCATGTTAGTAAATATTAAACATATCAAAAATATCAAGCATTAGATTGAAAATTAATAATCTGATAAGTAAAAAGTACCAGACCGTTGTACAGACCCCTTGTTATCGAATTATTAACATCCGTAAATAGTTTCAGCTCATCGTAACCTACAACTCTTTTATTGACGGTAACACTTGTAATTGAGGCGTTTTCAATCAGGAGGGTAGCAAATTTTGTATATTTAATAAGATAGTAAAAACTCGTAAATACTCATTTGCTTTCTACTTTGACCGTGAGATAATTTGATCACAAAATCGAGAAAAAAGGTGGCCTACAAAACTATAGAGCCTTTTGACGTGACCTACACCTCCAAATTTTCAAAATAACGAGGTTATATACGACAAACGGCCCAATATTTTTGTAGGCCACACTTTTTCTCTGTTTCGTGATCAAATTATCTTACGTTCCAAGTAGAAAGCAAATGATTATTTACATTTCTCCATCAACCTTTTTGGAGACAGCCATGATGAAGGCCTGAACTTCAGGTCTTAACGTCGGCAAATGTCAAAATAAATATTATTATTTATTTTTGACTTCTTTCTTATTTGACTGATCACCCCAATTATTCTTCTCTTCATTATTCACGACAGTCAAACATTTACCCACTATTATACATTATTTACAATTTTTTCCACAATAAATGTTTGTACATATCGTTTTTAAGATTATTCAAATCTTTTTTTAAAGAAATATCGAAATCGAAACAGTATTCCAATACTGAGTATTCGAATTTTTACATATGCTTTTTTACTTTCCTACTCCTTCTAGACAAGTGGAGTTTTAAGAAGTGTCAAATTTTCGTCATTCCATAACTTTTCTTTTATTTCTACATTTTTAGTATCTAACTACTTTTAAAGTAGACTCTAATATAGAAGAATTTGTGAAAGTAAAAGTGTTGATACATTTTATATACTTGGCGAAACGAAGTAAAATCAGTAAAACTAAAGTTCGGTGTGTTCCTGAAGAAGTTTGTCAGGTGGTTAGGGGATGTTTGGAAGGTGTAACACCTTTAGTATAAAACTTCACAACTCAACTAAAAAGTTTTGCAACTTTTTAGAAAGTGCAGACACTGTTAAATTGTTCGTAATCGGATCTAAGTTTAGCTGAACTCCGTAGTTACCTGAATGGAGAAAACTATTTGAAACTACAGACCTATAGATATCTCAGAAACTAAAAATCGGAACTGCATACTGTAAGCGAGGGAAATTTTCAGCATTTCATCATCTTTATAATGAGATATTATTTATAATTTATATTTCATATTTTTAATCTCGCCTTGTTAATGTTTTCATTTCTATCGTGTAGACTAAAGCACAACTTACTTTTTTGTTAATTCATTTTTTTCTTAAATTTAGTTAAGATAGATTACGGATAGCTAATGCATTTACCACACGTCTATTGATAAACGAATTAAACAGATAATAAATTACAAAAACTAAATGAGGCCTTTTTATTAAAGTTAGCCAAGTAAATTTTTGTCATGAAAAATCGATTCTGATTCGTTTCTAGCATCTTTTAAAACTCTTAAATACGATTTCGTTTTAATATAAAAAAATCTAAGTTTTTGACTTCATTTTATGGGGAAAATTATCTTCATGCCACTTACTAAACCCACTTCATAAATTCTCGGATTTTCTCCCAATTCAACGTTTCTAAAACAGTCCAAACCATGTCGATATCATTTAGATTTTATGACTTAATAAGGAATAAATAAAGAAAAACTCCTCAAACGTTTTTATTTTACATCTCTAGTTCTAATTAGTTCACGGAGGTTTGTGCTATGGCTTTATTTCATTTCGTGTAGTTTATAGGGCGCTAAATTCCAGCAAAGTTTCGTGAATAAAGGTGGAGTAATGTTGAAGTTATTTCAATTTTCGTAATTTTCTAAAACAATTAGAAACCACTATGGCGAAAATTTCGAACAAGGGATCCCCTCCCCTCCTTAGAATAAGGAATCCTTTGTCATTTTCGGTTTTCTCTTCTTCTAGTAACTTTTCATAGTCTGTCTCTACTTCCTCTCTTTCGACTGAGTACTACTTTTTTGGGTCTTGAAAAACGATTAGCTACAGTTCAAAACATCCATCTTATTGAAATCAAATCTTTATTTATTTATGAAATGATTCATTTTCATTGAGAAATGTATGCTATCATATCAATATTTTATACTTTGACAATTTAGTGTGGAATAAAAAGCGATTGAAAACAACATGAAATAAATATTCGAAAATCAATAAAAAAAATATTTTTAAAAATGAATTCTTATGTATACATTGTAGAAACCAATAAATTTAATTCACGCATAAAACCTGACATATACGACCATCATAAATTTAAAAGCATTTAATGTATCCTTTGCGGAATATCTTGTAAGTATAAATATCCACTACACAAAATAATACTGTTTGAGAAAGAACGGGAGGAAGTAGACAGAAATAGACAGAAATGGGAGATCTTTCCTTATAAATATTCGACAATGTTTTGTTATAATACTATATTTATAATAACTGCTGAGTATAATGGCCTGCAGTAAACGCTTATACTCCGTTACATTGGAATTAGCTTTAAGTATAAATATCTGTTGTTGTTAATCAGAGAGTGGTACATCCCCACTCAATGTGAGAAACAAGGCCTCGTGCCATAATTGATGCACATGCTCATCTTCTATCCTAAAAATTCCTGAGGGAGTAGAAGGAACAAGCCAATGGTGTATATTTGTATATTCAATACTTATATCGACAGCCACACTGCAAAACCCTGTCAGGACAATTTCTATGGAAAATGAGGTTTTGAGCAATCTTGTTATGGAGCATATTCCGATCCCACAAAATATAATCTACGATGTTTTTTTCATCTTTATGACCTTTTGTAAAAACCTGTAATTTAAAAACCAGGAAATTGTGATGTAAAAAACTGTAGGTTACAGTGAAGTCTGCAGAGATTGTATCGTTACCAGAAATACGTAATGAAATAATCAATGAAAGATGGTCATGTAAATACAGAATGTACAAAGCTTTTTGAGCATAGACTACAGGATCTATTAGCTTTATTAATTGGCTAAAATTATTTTTTCTCATACGCATTGCATTACTTTTTTGAATTTCTAATAAGTAACGGGAACTTCCAGCCCGGCGCCTCAGGGGAAATGCCCAGGTTCTCTTATTCTAGGGCCGGCATTGCTTACCATGAAATTAGATGAAGCAAAGAAGAGAGTGGTAATGGGAATATAATATTGAACGGCCTCCAAAACAATCGAAACCTCCTGGAAACTGCACAATAAGCTTGACTGGAAAAAAAAAAAAACAGCAATGCCTCCGAATTCCAGATAGTGAGAGACAGAATTGATTTCATTAATCGAAATCATACCAGACTGAAACGTCAAGAAACCACTCGACGTTTCCGATTACTTCAGCACTTACTAGACAAACTCTCTAAACTTCCAATTAATTACAAACGCCTCATATACATGACTATAATAAGGCCAAGGATGGTTGAGCTATGGGGCTCCACTAAGCCATTGAACTCCTCTCGTATCCAATCCTTACAATCCAAAATCCTTCGTAAAATCCTTAATGCTCCCTACTTTTTTACAAATAAAACCATTCATAATGACCTTAATTTTTCTTATGTTTCATATCTGACCCAATCCAGATACCTATCCTTCCATAATAAACTCCAGAATCATCCCAACTCTCTCGTTTCTAACTTTGCTTCCTCTTCAATTCCTGATAACCCTCCGAGGCTTCTGAAAAGAAGACGGCCCCGTGATCTCCTAATGTAGACATATCATTAGAGTGTAACTATTGGATAGTTTTTCAACAAGTGTTATCACGTCATTATATCCATATGTTCAAATTCACTAAATCTTTAATACAGTTGTAAATGTCATTAAGAAATAAAAAAAAAAATTAATTAGAAAATTTAATAGGAGAACGAAAAAAGAACTCTAGTTTCATCTTTTCAAACCAATGAATCTTCGATAGGGTCAGAAACTAAGTGATATACACATCAGGAGGTTACTAAAAGTTACCGAGCATTCGTGAATCAAACTAACGTCGAATACGTAAAAAACTAATCTTTCATAGACTACTCAAAAATGGGGCGCATACACTCCGTTCGAGCCCTACAGTGGGGGACAAAAAAGTGAATAACCCGTGTGATCTAATACTAGCTTTCCAGTAATATTTTTACATATTTTCATTTGAAGTATCGTTTCTCTACATTTTGGAAATTGTCTTTGTTTCAGTAATTCTTTAGTCATTATTAAAATGTTATAGATGTTACTATAATAAATTTGGTGGATTTTACACAATACATGTTTTTAAAAGTAACTAAAATGCTGTACAAGTCATCTGAGGCGATTCCTTTTGACCAATGAAACAATATTGTCATTCTTATAAACTTATAATTCTTTATTTTTTCTTATTCGTTATCATTTATTATTTTGGGACCACAAAATTTCCTCAAGACTTTCCTTTCCTATCTGGTGTATTACCTGCTCAAACTGTTTCCGATGATTTTATTTCAGAATGTTCAATCAAGTTGACTCATGAAACAAAATCGTTAGAACCTGTTAAAATTTAAACTAAGGTAGAAAAATTAGCTTTTTCTCTCGACTTTTTAAAAATGACATTTGTCCGTCTTTGATATGAAGCCACTTATATGTTT